AAAAAAGAGGTTAGAGTGGGAGAGAGCCAAAGCATAAGAGACTGTTGAGAACTGAGAACAAACTGAGGGTTGATGGGGGGTGGGAGGGAGGAGAGGGTGGGTGATGGGTATTGAGGAGGGCACCTTTTGGGATGAGCACTGGGTGTTGTATGGAAACCAATTTGACAATAAATTTCATATATTGAAAAAAAAAACACATTTATGCTGATGCAGCCAGTAACTCTACACCAGTTGGTGATCCTAGAGAACTATGCACATGTTCTCAGGGGACAGGTACAAAAGTATTAATAAGAGCATTATTTCTTGTGGAAAAAAAATGGAAACTGCAAAAGTCCAGATCATCAGGAGAAAGATAAACTGCAAGTACTGAAAGAAATAGTATATCTAAATTAAAATGACTAGAGCTACATTTATCAACTTGCGCAAACATTAAAAAGCATCCTATGTAATGTGTATGGACACAGAAATAGGTAACAAATATGTACAATTCTTCATAGGTGTAATAAGTACTGAATTCATGATAGCAGGGCCCCACTGAGGAGGGAAAGAGCAGTGTGGACCTGGGAAGAGGTAAACAGAGAGTTTTTCCATATCTGTAATGTAAAGGATAGGCCAAAGTAGGACCTAATTTTTAAATTTGGGACAGCGGGGCATGGGTTATGCAGATGTTTGTAATTTTAATCTTTATTCTTCTCCCTATGCTTGAGATTAATTTGTAGTAAAGATATTTCTTCCTAAAACCCAGCAAACAAACCCCAAAAGTAATCACATGGCTTTTGTTTCATGATGGTAGGAGTGCACATGCTAGAGACTTCCTTGAAAGGCCCTAATTCCTGGAAATTGTAAAACAAGTCCATACCTGTACCATGAAATGATTCAGAAAGAATCGCCAGCAGACCAGAAATTGTCAGCAGACCAGAGGGACAGCAGATAGGGTCCAACTCATTTGTTTGAGTAAGCCATGGCCCACAATCTGTGCAAAGCTTGTTGCAAATGGAGGAACTGGCCCAAGAGTGCTCTATGCCCTGGCAAGATGCTGGCTGGCATCAGAACAGGGCCCACAGGCAACCAAAAGGTGATTAGTGTATGGCAACAAAAGTAGTGTGGACTAACCCTGGCATTTCCTTACCTATCTCGCCCCCAGAACTTACCTCCAGGTGGTGGCTATAGTGATGTCTGCCCAGGTGAGAGCAATGCCTATGGACACTTGGGCATACAGCCAGGACAGTGCCTGGGATGGGTGGGTTAATAGACAACCCCACAGAATGTATCCAGCCCAGTCTCATATCCCACTCCAGTCCTTACCAGTACTTTCACTGAAAATATGGCAATAGTATAAATTCATCTCAACAGTAATCATGGCTCTTGTTCACTACATATTCCCCATGAATGAGATATACACATGCCTTGTGTATGACTTTACTTCTGCTGATGCAACAAGTTACCACAAATTTAGTGGCTGAAAGCAACCAAATTTACTATTTTACAATTCTGGAGGTCAGAAGTCTAAAATGTGTCTGCAGGTCTGTGTTCCTCCTGAAGGTTCCAGGGGAGAATCCACTTCCTTGTCTTTTGTAGCTTTTAGAGACCCCCTACATCCCTTGTCTCATACTCCCTTCCTCTATCTACAAAGCCAGTGGTGTAGCCTCTTCTCTCTTCTTTGATCTCTGCTTCCATCCTTTCATGGTTCTCTAACTCTAACTCTACTGTCTCCCTCCTATAAAGGACTCTTGCATTTACCTTGGGCCTATCCAGATATTCCAGGATAATCTTCCCGTATAAAGACCTTTAACTTAATCACATCTTCAAAGTTCCCTTTTGCTGCAGGTTCTATGGATAGGGATGTGGACACCTTTGGAGTCTGGGGGTAATTTTTCAGCCTACCCTATCTTGCATGAACTATTTCCCTTTAATCTTTACAACACTACTGTGACATACCCATTTGCAGATGAAGGAGAAATTGAGGCTTAGAAAGGTTAAGTGACACACTTGATTTGACATGGCTTGGAAGGGGCAGAGCCAGTCATGGAAAACCTGGTAAAGTGAGTAAGGATCCCTGCTTTGCTCCTCCCCACATCTGTCCCTTTTCTCATCTCTTCCTTCTGCTCCTATTCAAGAGAGCAATAATACTCCCTTCCATACTAAGCCCTCTGGAACCACTAAATGTGCACTCAATTGGAGCAGCTGTGAGGTGTGTGATGGCAGAAGCCAGGGTTTGGAAATCTGAAGATGTGAACCCAAATATTGACATTCATCAGCAGTGCTATGATCACGGACAAGAGAGCTAACCTTTCTCTAGCTTCATTGGTAATTAAAGGTTGTTGTAAAGATTTCAGTTTGAAGGTAGTTTGGACACATAGCCTACCACAACAGTGTTAGTTTCCCTCCTCTCTTTGTACTCCTAAGGCCCTCACAAGTCAGTTGCCCTTCCTTTGTCATGTGCTACTTGCTCTAAACAAAGCTGTGGTCTGCAATGTCCCAGAGGCATGGTTTTTTTATATCCTCCTGTTAAACCATGCCTGATGATATTCTGGGTATTAAATACAGTGTTTATTGACTAACAACTTCTATGGCCTGTCTTATGTAAATGTGATTTCTGTTAAGCTTTTGTGAACATTGAGGGTAGCTCACAACTTAAACACTGTTCCTGATTACTCCTTTGAGGAAATTGGTTGGAAGTCGCAGTCCTAGGTTGTACATTTCTTCAGGTAGGCTCTGATCTACCCAGGGTGCTATGCACAGCTGCCCTGTCCTAGTTGTGGAGTGGAGCAAAGGTTCACTCAGATGAAGGCTGTGGCAGAGAGATGGCACCCCCTCCTCACCCAGCTGGTTGGTATGCAGAAGGAAATGCAGCAGTAAGCATACACTTCCCCAAATTAGTTTATGGCCAGGCTTCTTCAACAGGAGGCCTTGGTAGGTTCTGGGTATAAGGAAAATTTCAGTTAGAAAGTGACCGTTGGGAAGAGAATGAGTTTGCTGGCTTACATTCCCATAAAGTCCCATCAGAATGGAGAAGCTATTTGAAAGCATATAGGTGATTTTGTAGTCCTCTAGCCACACCGATTCATAAAACAGCAAACATAAAACAAACAAAAGGAAAAAAAACTGAGCTCAGAGGAACCTGCTTTCATCCAGGGTTGCCAGGATGTACTGTTGGATTTCTAGAAAGCCTGACAACAGGCCTGGCAGACAAGCCTGGAGAGATTAGCCTTTTAGCCTTTTCTTGTCTGTTCAGAGGACAAGTCACAGGACAGAGGTGGTAAGTGAGCTCATCAAAGTCAAAGAGCTTGTAGGCAACACAGGTTGGGCCAGAACTCATGTTCCTAGGTCTCAGTTCAATGTTCGTTACTCTATACCAAGCATCCCTTTTCTACACATGTACAGAGGACTGGGCCTTTTTGGGTGCAATTCAGCTGGCAATTCTGCTTTCTGAATGGGACCTACTGCCCCACCCCAACACTTATTCACCAGGAGTAACCATATCTTGATATTCCACAAACTCTATTGAAGTCTGGGAGACATCAAGAGGCTAGACAGGGCCCCTTCCCCTCAATGGGATTATAATCCGAGGTTCTGTCAAGCAAGCATTTAATCTCTTCCAGCCATAAAGGTATAAAGTTTTTGCTTGCTTTTAAAATGTTCAGGTAAACACACATGCAAGATGCATTCTTTCAACATGCATATTAAATGCCACTCTCACACACTGCTTGAAACACCTGAGAGGCAAAGGCTGTGATTCTTGCATGGCAAGTGCTGTTCATTTGTTATCTCATTTAATTCTCACAACCCTATGAGGCCAGCACTTAATTAACCACACCTTATAGATGAGGAAACCGAGGCTCAGAGAGGTGAAGTGACTTATGCAAAATAGTATCTTTGGAATGACATAAGAAAGATACAGAGTGCTTGCTATAGAGACTCCTCCCTCGGGGGGAGAGGAGCAAACATGGACTCATTACTCTTCCAGGAAGACAAACTTCAGGCAGGAAGAGGCCTGTAAGCAGGCAGATGGAATTTAGATAGTTGGAGATGAAAGGAAAGACAATTCAGACAGAGAAAGCAGTAAGCAAAGAACCAGAGTGGATAAAGTTGAGAGTATGCTCTGAATTACATTAGGGTTGCCAAATGAATTAAACAACCAAAATAAATCAGGCATTCAGGTGGACTGGAGCCTAGAAACCTCAGAGTTAATCTGCACTCCACCACCCTCTCCTCTTTCCCCTCTTCCATCCAATCAGTCCCTAAAGCCTGTCCATCATCACCCTTAAAATGCCTTTCTGCCTCTCCATCCCCATGGAAACTGCTTTAAGGCTCACTTTGTTTCCCTCTTGCTTCTTATTCTAATTGCTTCCTAAGTGACCTGCCAGACAACAGTCTGTACAGCCTCTGTGAAGCTGTGCAATGAAAGTCTGATCCAGTCAGTGCTCTGCTTAACAATCCCGTCAATATAGAACATTTTAAAGGTTCTGCACCTCTTGCACACTGTTTGCTGCTTTTGAAGCCCCACTTCCCCTAATCACCCAGTGATTCAGCCATAGACATCTTAGGTGGATCCTAGATGGCCCACAAATTAATTCCTATACACATAAACTATTTCTGAGAACGGGGATGGTGAATGAATATGCTGTGTAAGCCAACACAGGATAGGAGAACTGAGACCAGCTGAAACCTTCCATAAATACACCCCTCAACTCCATCCCCCCAAACCCTCCACCACCACCCCCTGGATACTCATATATGTACAGCCTGCCTTCTGTGAGAATGAATTAAAGGCACATTCTTTCTCAATACCCGCTAGCAAATTTTGTACTAGACTGAAAAATACAGGAGCCCTATGCTCTTTTTTCCTGTGCATTCTCCTGCCCTCGTCAATCCCTAGCTGCCATCTCTGCCCTAGTCCCACCCCTGCCTTGTCATGCCTCTTTTCCTATCTGAGAGCGGATATTTGGGTGGAGGAGCCGCCCACTTCCTCTTTGGAGTTCAGTGAGTGCGTGGCAGAAAAGGCGGAGTCAATTTTGCCTAGCGTTCTGGCTCTTGCAGCGGGAGTGAATGCAGGCGGCTGTTGCTTGCGCATTTTTGTTTCCCTGGGAGTGAGCTTTGTCGCTGAGAACATCTGGCTTGTTGCTACAAAGACTATTGACATTGGTGGTTTCAGCAGTGGCCGCTTAAGGTAGAGATAGTTGCTTTCTGCAGAAGTTGCAGGCATCATTCCCTAGAATTGCAATAGGCTCGGCGCCCATAGTGGGAGACATGCCTCGGGGTCGGAAGAGTCGGCGCCGCCGTAACGCAAGAGCCGCGGAAGAGAACCGCAACAATCGTAAGATCCAGGCCTCAGAAGCTTCTGAGACCCCGATGGCCTCTTCTCTGGCCCCAGGCACCCCGGAGGACGACCAGAGTGGCCCTGAGGAAGACCCTAGCACTCCGGAGGAGGCCTCCACTACACCTGAGGAAGCCTCCAGCACTGCTCAAGTACAAAAGCCTTCCGTAGCCCGGAGCAATTTTCAAGGCACCAAGAAAAGTCTCCTGATGTCCATATTAGCCCTCATCTTCATCATGGGCAACAGCGCCAAGGAGGCCCTGGTCTGGAAAGTGCTTGGGAAGTTGGGGATGCAGCCTGGCCGGCAGCACAGCATCTTTGGAGATCCAAAGAAGGTCGTCACAGAGGAGTTTGTGCGCAGAGGGTACCTGATTTATAAGCCAGTGCCACGTAGCAGTCCCGTGGAGTATGAGTTCTTCTGGGGACCTAGAGCACATGTGGAATCGAGCAAGCTGAAAGTCATGCATTTTGTGGCAAGGGTGCGTAACCGATGCTCCAAGGACTGGCCATGTAATTATGATTGGGATTCTGATGATGATGCAGAAGTTGAGGCTATCCTTAATTCAGGTGCTAGGGGTTACACTGCACCTTAGGGAAATCTGGAGCAGACACTTGAGGGGGTTGGAAACAGCATCAGAGGTACCCAAAGGAGTAGATTACCTGGGCGCTGAGTTGAACATGATGGGAAAAGGGAGACATTTGGTATTTGTGATCAGTGCTAATTGTTAACTGCAAAATATTGTACAATTGTATACGTCTTAATATAGTGATGAAGGTCATAATATGATTAAAAAGATGATTACAGAAAGGATATGTTTTTTCTTTTTGTCTGTCATTGAGACTTAGTATAACAGTTTTACTACCCTTATAAAATGAGTCCATCATATTCTGTGATCTGGTACATATTTTATATCATTGAAATAGGTAATTCTGAAAAGTTTGAAATAAACCGGTATGTGAGAGAAGGATGGGGAAATTCTTTTATGTTTGACCTTTCTGAAACCTTTGTGTCTACTGTTGTATAAAGAAAACTGACAACTACCATGAATTTCCTTAGCTACTGCACAATATAGAAAAAAATAAAACTATAATGACGAGGACACCTTGTTCATTTATTGAGCACCGGTTATGTATGAGGCACCAGTCTAGGTTCTGGGGATCCTCGATGGCACACAGCCCTCAGTTCTAAAGAATGTTCTAGATTACATGGGAAAGACAAATATGTAAACTGGCAGTGTGGTAAATGCTGTAATAGGGAGTGAGTGTGGGCTACCACAAAAATTTAGAAACACTTCTGTGACCTGTCTTGGAGGTGAGACAGGAGAGAGGATATCACAGGATTCTATGAAAATCCAAAAGATGCTTAAATAAGCTTGGGGAAATTTAAAAGGGGCCTCAGAGCATAGTATGAAATACTGTGCATTAGGTACTTTTGGATACCTAACCCAGCCTGGGGGAAGGGGCATTGGCAGAGGGGAGGGACTATCATGGGGTACTGTGGAAATAGAAAAGACACCTAATCATCCTGAGGGGAGGGCAGGGGAGAGTGGGGTGGTTGCAGGATAAAGGACATTGTGGGATACTACAAAAATTAAAAAGATGAGACTGTCAGAAAATTCTTGGTGAAATGACAACCTGAGGTCTGAAAATAGTATTGAAGATGGGAAAGGAGTAATTATGGGGGCACTAAAGGCAGCATGGACATTAGGGGAAAAAATGCTCCACTGTAGGATTAAGGTTATGTCAAGGGGGGAAGTGGAGGAAAAAGAAATAAGGTGGGAAAGAGGTGAGCAGAAGCTAGAGACTCAAAGGGTGGGAGTTATGGCTGATCTTAATGAGAACAAAAATGGCCAGTAATAATGATAATCCCGGAATAAAAATAATTTAAGAAAGCAAAAAACAGCAGAGCCTCTTGGATGAGTCAGAGAGAAGACTGGGCCTGTGGCATCTCTGAAAGGTAACCTGGCACTTCTCTCAAAAACTACAGTTTGTTGGGGCACCTGGGTGCCTCAGTCAGTTAAGCAGCCGAATTTGGCCCAAGTCATGGTCTCACAGTTCCTGAGTTTGAGCCCTACATCCGGCTCTGGGCTGCCAGTGCAGAGCCTGCTTCAGACCCTCTGTCTCCCTCTCTCTCAAAAATAAACATTAAATTAAAAAAAAAACAAAAAACCCCTGCAGTTTGTTAAGGTGTACCAATTGTTTTAAAAGTGGGGGTGGGGGGTGGGGGGTACACACTCTGGGGTGAGAGAGGAGCAGAGTTAGCACTTTGACTCTCTCCTTCAGCCGGGTAGCTAGTCCAGAGGGCTACCTGGCATGGTGGCTCATGGTGTACTAAGCATGTGGTATCAGGTTTCTTCCCACCTCCAGGAGCTTTCATGCTTTCTCACCTCATTATACCAAGGAGCTCAATGCCCTTCCCATCTATGCTATCACCAGGGAGTTCTGAATCCTCTACCTCACCCTGCAGCAATTCTGGAGATGTAGGAGTCTTCCCTCAAATTCTTTTCAGCTATAGGCAAAGAACACACATAAGACGCTCTGGCCACCCCCAAAGCCTACCACATCTACCCCTAGAGCTAGACACTGTATGAACTAAGTCCTCTAATAGGGAACCCCAAGGAAGGGTGCCTCACCTAGCTTTGTGGGGCTCAGAGGGAGCAGCTATCACACACAAAAGAGTGGCCAGGGTACCTTCTTCTTTCTTTGCCTCCAGTTAGTCTTACCTTGCTTCTGGCTGTATGCAAAGTAAAGTCACTGGGCCAGGGCAGGCTAACAAATGACTTTCTGGCAAAGGCCCAGGGACCCATAGACATCAGCCTGAAGGCTAAGGAGGCTTCAAACAAAAGTAGGAACTATGACACCTCAGCAGCTCCAAATTCATTCAGCAAACAAGAAAATAGTGAGAGCCTTCTATGATTCAGGCAGTGTGACAGAAACTGGGGCTGCAGAAAATGAAAAGGCATGTTTCTGGTCCCAGGGGAGCTGTATTTGTCAATGCCACCTCCAGAGGTAGATAGGGTGTAAATCTGAGGTTCGGATTCCTAAGTGACTTTCCTGTCTAGAGCCGCAGGGGTGGCAAGTGACAGATCCTAGACAAGACCCCACATCTGGTCCCGGCAAACCCAGAGTGCTTTCCTATAGGCTACCCTGCTTTCCATCTCTGCCTGCCAGTGCACTTACAAGGTCTGTCTTCAAAAGAAACATGTGAAGTCCATGGGACAGGTCTCAGTAATGCCAACTGCAGCCTCAAATTGTTTGGGGACAAGGCTGACTTTAAATTCTCCCCCTTTTATGGAAAGGGGCTCATAGAAGTCCGTCAGCTCCAGGTCAGTCAGCTAGTAAGTGGGAGAGCTTGCAAAGCAAAGATTTATTGAGCGTCTCCTCTGTACCAGGGGCTTGTCACATATTATCTCTGCCAGGTCAGTATACTTACTCCTGTTTTATAGGAAGCCCCAGCTAGCTCAGGGGAAGAAATGATGTCCTTCCAAAGCCTGACTGAATCTATGTTTTCCTTGGCTCTGGTGGGGAATAATCACCCAATTGTCTAAAATTGGTTATTCGCAAGTGTGGGCCAAGGAGCTTAATTCAGTCAGAGAACCAGTAGTACCCAGTATAAAGGGAGAAAGAGTGGGAGTATGCCACAAACTGCACTGTAAAAGAAATGACTGCTGGGATCCTGAAAGCCTCAGGCAGGAGGCTCCACAGGGAGGCACAAAGGCTTGGGTGACCTGCCTTAGCCCAGCAAGGAAGCAATTAATGACCCAGGCTCACTCTTCCCCTGACCTGGAGGTTTAGTGTGTCTCCCGCCCCTTTGCACCCCCCAACATACCACATGGGTACTGCAAAGAGTTAATCTTCATTTGATTAGGTAAATGCTGAGCAAGGGTGGGATTTCCTGTGGCTGTGAAATGAATGGCAGGGCTGAGAGAGAAGCAGGGAGAGGAGCTTCTGGAAGGTGGTGAGAAAAAGAGAATATTCCTCATTCCATTTACATAGATTCTTTGAGCTTTGAGCAGTATCCAGATGGGACACAAGCTGGGAACCTTTTGCTGTGTAAGTCAGCAACCTAAGCTAGCCCCACCCCAACAGAGTTTCCACACAGTGAGTGGAAAAGCTGCAGTTTTAGTTTCCAGAATGCCTCTAAAGTGGATTGAGTTTCTGGGTCCTAGAATACTCCAGTTGTTTAGGGAGCTCAGGGATACAGAGCCCAAAAGTAAGGGTAACAGCTGCCATTTCCTGAGTGCCTAAATTGTGCCAGGCACTTTGGTGGCTGTTTTCATACATTGTCTCTAATGTTTGCAACAGTCCAACAAGATATGTTGGCCCCCCAGGCCAAGATTACAGAGGAGGAAACTCAGGGTCAGATATCAGAAGAAAGTTGCTAGGGTCACCTGGTTGGTCAGTGACAGCCTTGGACATGAACTCAGGGCTGGACAAGTCTAAAGCTCACACTATTACAGTAAAACAACAGAATGCATCAACAGGACACCTGGGCCTCCACCTAGCCTTGGGGAAGTCCTCTGTCTTCAAAGTCCACCACAACCCAGGGTAAAAGTGAGAAGGAGCATGCTGAGGCGGGTGAGGAGGCATGGGAAAATAAGATTAATAAACCATTTCGGGATTAGCTGTGGGTGTTCCTTTATTCTGAATTATTGTGGCCCCAATTGCTAGGCATCTTTCAGGGGTTGCTGTGTGTAGAATGAGTATTGCCTTTACAAGACAAATGTGTCTTCTCCATCATGACGCATTGCTCAGAAACTTCACCACCCTGAATGCTCCATCAATCCTCAAATCCCAGGCCCTGGCTATCACACAGTGAACCAACCAAACGTCAATCTTTCTGGGCCTGAAACATTGCTGGATGATGCTGTTTTCTGTCCAGAAGGTACAATGGGCCACCAGAACCCTACCTTGAGCAGAGTAGAGTGCCTGGGATAAGACACAGGCAGCAAGCAGTTGGCTATCTGGCCATGCAAGAAGACAGGCTGATGGGGGGGGAGGGGGTCCTCCTTGGGCCCAGTGTTGTGGCCATGGCCTCAGCAGTCAGGTGCACAGCAGACCATGGCCATGGTGAAAGACAGATACAGATTCTGCCTGGGCTCACATTCACCCTTGTGATGCGGGTAGGGGCCAGGATCCCTCTGTCTCCTTCCTTTGGCAGAAGCAAAGAATTCCAGTGCTCTAAAGGAAATGATTTTGAAGCAGTGGTGGTGGTAGAGGAGGGTGATTGGTATGAAGATGTACTGAGACCTGTATACAGGTTATTCCAGGGCTTGTGAGCCATGAAAAAGTTAAACATCAAAGAGCTAATGGAATTTCTTTGAAAATCTGAGTGAGGACACTTGCACAAAGGAAGGTCTCGGCTCAGCCAACGCTATATAGAAGAATAGGTCTGGAGCAATCCAGCGCTTGCAAAATAGATTTGGGGAGGGGAAGTGGACTCTGGGTTTGTACCGCTCACCACTCAACAGACATAAATCTCACCCAGGGTGGTTTGGAGTGGGAAGGTAGAGCCCATAAACGGTGAAAATCAGGCCCAATTCTTGACTGGTCAACTTCTGCCTCAGTTCCCTGCAACAAATGACACCCTTGCAAATGTTATCTCAAAATGTGCAACGTATGAGAAAGTGCCCGAAATCCCCTCTGTAACTGTGACCAAGGAGGCCCCTAGATTCATTCTCTACCTGTAAAGTCTTGAAAATAACCGGGCCTATGTTATTTTGGATGTTGTGACTATCTAACAAGTCATCCATTTACTCATTCGACACACATTTACAAAGGTCTATTTGTGTCAGTCCTCTGGAATACATATATGAAAAAATCACAAGCTCTTCTGCACAAAAACAGAAAATAAAAAGGTAAACCTTTTAAATAACAAATTAGGCAGTACTTTAGAAGGTGACAAGTACTTTGGTCAGCAGGGGTGGGGAGGGGGCAGTGGTAAGCTCACACAGAACAGGGTTCGGGCAGATTGGAGATGCCAGGAAAGAAAGGAAGCATTAAATTCTACTAAAGGGTAAGCAGGGTAGAAATAAATGAAGAAGGTGAGGGGGGTTTCCTTGCTGATATATAAAGGAAATATTGTTCAGGCAGAAGAACC